TCTCTAAACACAAAAGGCATGACAGATCGTGAAGTAAATTACATGAAAATCGTGCACTATAATTTGACAGGGACTTTGAGACTTTTTACAAATTAGGAAGGTCGTTGGCTGAAGAAAAGCATATTCTTGATTTTCATACTTAGTATAAATCTATACTATAATACTAATCACGTCGCGCGATGTACATCACCAGCAAATTCAATGTTTGATTCAATTTCAATGGAGAATCTACCTTTTTAAACACTTGCGTCTCTTATGACACATTTTTGAAGAGGAAAAGACTATAATACAGAATAATAATTTCATAACAACATTTAACACTATATATTTAAAATTGAATACAACGAATTCATGAGCAGAATTTGAATATACTTGAATATTGAGCATATGCAATTGTTCTTTCAGTGTTCCTGGGAAAATTTTGAAAACGACCAACTTAAGAATTTCATGTTTGCAGAAAAATAATCAGCCTTTCAAACAAATTGTTGTTATACAATGTTTCAATTTGTATTGAATTGGGGAATAAATATGACCCATCCTCTAAACAGATTTGGGGAAAACTGAAGATTCAATACTTTATTCTTCCTTGGAGGTGAATGACAGTTCTTTCTCAACTATCGAAAAAGGTGGCCAAACTGGGTTAACTTTAGTATTGGTGGTCAATAACTTTAACCACTACTCTACAAGAAATTTGGATGGGTGACTCAGTATAGATGAAAAAACTTCATTCGTCATATATGAACGACAATAAACTGAGTGCGTTCGTGCAAATGTTCCGTTATCACAGACAGCAATGGGACGAATCGGTGTGCATTTATTAGTCAGCATTTTGTAAACTTCGATCAGCTTCCAGACATTTACAAAATGCTGACTATAAGTATGAGGTTACACTTTAAACAGCACGTTTACCAAGTGCGATTAACTATGATACATATATATATATATATATTCAAAAACAAAACTTGAAAACGGGACTGCCGTGACATAAATAAAAGATAGAGACACTGGTATTTGGAAACATTTGCTATATTTTAATAGTCTTACAGTATTTTAGCAGTACATCAGTGTTATTTAACATAACTAAGTTGTGAGAACATCACCTAAAACCAAACGCTGCACAAACAATCCCACTTGTACAGAAATGCGCATGTCGCCATTCGGCGAACGAACACCTACACGCTCCCTGTATTTCAATGTATAGACCAGGTATCAACGATGTATAATGGCAGTACGGATTACTTTATATAACGTTATATAATTGTCATTTAGTCACAAAAAAGTATATATATATATATATATATATATATATATATATATATATATATATATATATATAACATTATATGCATAATCATGTACTCTCGTTGATTCTCGGCATTGATAGGGGTATTCGGAATGTTATCTCGTGCCATGGTGTATATACATTGTAATGAAACTCGATTTGCCAATATCGTAATATAACCGAATACAAGAGAAAGAATATGCTGTAGTACTAGACCACTACACGTAACATACACCTACCTCAATTTGGTGGTGATTTGTTTTTTATATTGTAAATAATCGGAAATAAACGTTTTGCCATATTTCGCGTAAACCAGCTCCTGGCGTTTTTGAGAAATTATATTCGTTCATTCATAAAGTAAAGAAATTTAAACATCGCCGGACCTAAACCTATCTACGTAGGCATATTTGATTAATTTGAATCTAATTCTTGTACAGGGACATTGAACAGTTTCTAGCATCTACAGTTCTGGGGCGTTCGAGCATAAAAAAGGAGAACGACCTAGCTAAACTATATACATTGCTTTATAATTGATACAAGTATCACGTAATACCCACCGAATGCGAAGTCACGCGTCAGTGCAACATTACTTGTACATATACATACGCACACACAGCTGTGTTATGCGGTTGTATGCACTTTAAAATAGTGCGTCAGTCTTTCGTTGTCCTGCGTATCCATGAAAAAGGAATGTCGGTATTAAATATATATCAGATAATGTTTTTTTCAGTAATAACAGTGCCTCCACCATTATGTCCTCTGGAGATTACTGAATGTGTGCTAGATACAATTCGCTGAACCCATCGGTCACACTCCATTTAGCACGATTCAAACAAGCTTGCTATGAAACATCTGCATTAATACGTACACTTTTTTCCATTACATGCAGGAAACGGCGAGACCAGAGAAACAAGACGTATCACCTGCTTCACTCGGACTAACGACTTACATAATTGCAGTTGCACTGTATACATTTTCCGGGGCATGCGTCGTTTGCAGCAGAGCTGACCAATTCGAAACAACTACAAAATGCGACAACACACCGATGAGGTGATTAGACGTTATTATCCATCACGTTCGAAAAAATACTTCGTCGTAACAAATCCTATACCACATCAAAGTGGTATTTTATGGAATGGTAATATTCCATTCAAATGTCAATAATATTCCGACTGTACATATGCAGGACGGGTTGTGAATTGTCGTATAGTTCAACAATTCACAGGTGCAGTAACTGGATAGAAATGCGTAGCATAGTTCCGCGATTTCCGACGATTTCTGTTATCTTATAAGAACTACATCCAGGTCAGTGCGACCAGAAAAACTTCTAGTTTGAGTGTAAGAACAACTAAACTACAATTTCTACGGCGTTGGGTTTCTTCTCAACACTAGTACTGTCGTCTGAGATATTCTTTGGCGGTGAAGGCGACTTGCATACCTTTGTAGCGTCTTCAGGCACATTGCCTACATTGTCCTTGTCAATGGGTGTTATAGGGCTTTTTTGTACCTCTATATGAACTGCATTTTGGATGTGAGATGTTTTCTGCCTCTTCACCGACGGTTGCCGTACCCTGTACATCAAAGCCAATGGTTTATTCTGAAATTAAAATATGCCTGTAACGTCAGTAATTCATGTCATCCCTAGAAATACTCTGTCATATGCATGTCCATCAACGATTACTGATAATATTGTTTAAACCGGTTAATTACTTACTCTCCTCCAGTCGTACAGATAAGCAATATCCATCAAAGTATAATGATCTATTAGGGAATCGTCGCTGTTACGATACCGATATAAAACATCAACCTGGAGAGGAATAAAAAAAAGGCATTATACATCTGTCACCGTAACGCCATAAGTTACGGCGCCCCGTAATTTTGCGGTATTTTACGGGGTATTTTCATCCTACCATATTAGAAAATGCGAATTCCAAATATGGAATGATCACGCGCGTAAAAGTCCTTTAATAATAAAAACAAACATGGCTGTCACCAGGGTTTGACCGGACTCCACACAAAGAAGCTCGCTGATTCTGTTCCAAACTTTTTGAATTTCGGCATTGCCATGATGTATCCTTGGAAGGAAAAGATGTATAACAATAAGACAGTACTACGCGTCGGTCGATACTCACGTTGTACCGTTTTCGTGCATACTTTGAGGTATCCTCGTAATAACCTCATAGTATTGTGTCTGGGGTAGTGCAGAATTTGATGCCGCGCAAATGGTTTTAAAATGTTATGGTTAATATGTAATACTGGTGCAACGTTTGTGCCCAAACTAAAGTGTTCATTTGCCACTTTTGGAGATCAGCAGTTTCGTTGATATATGGACTGAAACATTCGTGCTCTCAACCAACAGACGTCAAGTCTCCTTATTCCAAACAATTACATATTTCAACCGCAAGACGAACCATCTTGAATAACTTTTCTACGTAGCAATGGCCCGGTACATATCAAACCGGCTTCGACAGACATCAGACTAGCCCAAATATTTTAAACCATGATCGAACTTGAGTAAAAATGAAGGTTTTAACATTTTAATAAATATGCATATATATATATATATGACGTCACTTTACCTCAAATGAAGAAGGAAGCCCAAACTTGTGCCTAATGAATTTCTTGATATGGTACACTGTGACTGCTGCTGGGCATCTCAAATAGCGTACATCATTCATCTGGTAAAGTTAAAATATTGTTAGAATTCAAGTGACCATGAATAGCACTTTTGTTATGATATGCATCACGAAAAGTCATAAGAGCAAACTGATAATGATTTACATGCGAGAAAAATATCATATATCTATCTTAATTCTTATGAAAGCAACAGGGGGTAAAACGTGTTAAAATTGGTTTTATAACAACCTTTATATTTCAACTGAGAGCTTAGTCATAGGAGAAGGTGGTAGTGCATATGATGTACAATGTTTATTAGTAAATTCTGCTACTGTGTCTCTTTATTTTTCAGATTATTAAAAACAGTTTTTTAACATTTGTAATCACTCGAATGACCTGTGAATTGCATAGAACGTTGCTAACGCTGTAGGCCAGCTGATTGCGTCTCCGTTCACCTTTATCTGCCTTTGTGTTCTATCTACAGCCAAATACCTACAAACTCCTTTATTGGTAACATGTCTGAAGTTATTACAAAACATAATTGAAGATTATAAGTTATGGTTCATGCTATAAAAAACGAACATGAAAAATTGTCTGGACACTCTTGGAAAATAGTCAAAACTGGCACTTTTACACTGGTTTCTATGGTGAGATTATTTCTTCATGAAAGAATCCTAATATTGTGAATACATTTCAAAAAATTGACACATGATTAGTGAGTTACCAGGGTGATAACAGTTTTCTAGTATACGGTAGAAGGTTATCTCCAAGATTGCATTACGTATAAGTGCAGTCAGCGCCGTTCGCCATTATTATTTCACCAACAGATCTCGGAATAAACTGTTAAGTCAGGTGATTCGTTTTCCCAAAAATTGAAAAAAGTACCTGATCCAAAAAATGATGAATATTCGTATCTGTACAGCGTTGTCAAAAATCAAGAAAACTTATTTAGAAGCGGGCTGATGGTCGTTCATGGTTGTCGCGTTTTTAATTCAGTTGTGTGCCTTGGTAAATAATCCTAGTACAAGTCGTAAGTGCCTTTATTACCCACCTCGTCTTTGCTGCTGTCGCCGCTTTCACTACCTCCTCCATTAGACACCGTACGATGTCCGTTCTGTGCAGCGATGTAGTACTCTAGTGACAAACTTATCTTTTCGTCGTCTTTGTAAAGGAAATTTTCATCGACCTCGCCTCGTTCTTCAGCACTCTGCGCAGCCGCACTTGTGCCTGAAATATGAACGGTCTGTTATCAGCATAACATACGTAACTTTTGAATAACTCAATTTGTTTTACGATCTGGTAATATATAATGTTATTTGTTTCGTGCACAATGACCTATCAAGTCATTCATTCATTCTTTCGCTCGCTATTGTTAGGCGGTATAAAGCAGAAAATTGACAGGAATAACAGTGCGTAACAGTTTATCGTTGCAATAGAAAATAATCGTTTAAGGAGACGCGGCACTGAATCGAAGCTTATCATTCTCAGCGAGCGAGCATTTTCACTGGAGGAATAAAATAAACATGTTAATCGTGATTACGACTGAAAGAATTCAATGCATGCATTCATTCTTTGTACGAACGACAATTCCGCTCAGTATCAATTTAAGTGCAGTAACCGGAGTCAGTACACTTTCTGCAGCTGTCTACTACTGAATGGATAGTTACTACTTACTGGCAGAGTGTGTATTACCAGCATAGAAGTCTCGTCTCCTCTTCATTTCATCTGTGCGTATAAACAGAAAACATTATGTTTTGATTCATGACGTTATGTTAGGTGACAGTGCGTGTGCGTATATATATATATATATATATATATATATATATATATATATATATATATATATATATATAAAATGATAAAACTATATAACAGACATTGTCCCCGTCAACAATCGGATCCGCACGTCTCACTATTACGCGTGTTGCAACATTAAGTGCATTCTTAATAGAACTAAAAGGGAAAAAGTACCTCCTTAATATGTTTTACCACCATGACCCACAATACCTAGAAAGATTTTGAAGTCAATGTCACAGGGTCACCGGACACCACGAGGCCTAAATTATGGCCCAGAGGGTTTGATAGTGATTTGGGAGAAATCGGACGCAAGATAGGATCTCCTCCTCAGAGTGCTACCTAGTTGTACGATATGCACGATTTGTATTATAAACTTATAAAGATAGAGCTACGGTTATCCTGCCAATATTATATTGAGATGATCAGATAAGAACAGTGCCACATTCGTTGCTGCTCGTCGAGTTCAAGTTTTCGATGCGATGTAAACAACGCGCATAAATCACATTGTTTACACACGAAATTCGAACGAATACTGTGTCACTTAAAATGACCTAGAAACAACGAGGGGATTTTTGCCATTCCTTGGTGACAGACGTTGATGGCTCTGTATATATCCTCTCATTACCACATAGTTGATGCTTGATATGCTTGTTCAACGCAATGTAAAACGTATGTGAACAAATAAACCAGTGTACTGACCTGAATGTTTAAATTTTACTTGGTTTAGTAGATTGTATTATTTACATGTTAGGACACTAACAAAATAACGGACGGAGGTCTGCCGCCCGAACTCATGTCAACGACCCGTGCTCGAGACAATTATTTTCAAAATGACCGGATAACGACGGCGCATATTTATTCCTTTCCTATGCGAGTGACTCCCGCCCACTGGCATGAGTCAGTTCCCAGTATAACGTTATGAAACATACCAATCACAATCAACACTGTGCTAATCCCACTCACAACGCGTAACCAAGACCATTAAGCAATTTTTAAATTATTTCCACTTCAGGTGTAATACATACCTCTGAATAACCCTGGTACCATTTTGTATACAATACTTTGAAGCGTTCTGTCTGATCTACAATAAATAATGTTGAAATTAATTACAAAATAATTAGCCTACGAGCTACCTTTTTTCGATGGGGTACATTTGGTAGGTAAATGTTTTTAATGCACATGCAGTGCGTTGTATGCGATATGTATTTATTCGTCTACCATGTCCCACATACTATATATTAGCATAAACATCTGAAACGCAGTTAAGTCGATCATTTCATATTGACCTCAATTGATACTTTTTAATGTTCAGATTAAATACCAGCTGAGGGCGGATTAATGAACATTATCTGCAAATATATAACAATGGTGCAATTACGCATATGATACTAAATATTTAACGCACGGGTCATGTAATACCACAGGAACAACATTGTAATACATGGAGCATGAACGGAGTACAGTGACTCAATCCAAACATGTATTTACGATACAGCTCAATGTGCAATATTCAAGTAACAATTACGGGGCAAAACTACAAGCATATGTAGACAGTGGCCAACATATCCCGGTGTCAGTCGTGTTATACAAGCAGTGTGGTATGTGGGTCAATGCGAGTTCAGTGCACGCCATGATGACAATAACACCACCGACGTGTATGCACGTTACAGGACGCCGGCATGAATACAACTGTTTCACGGTTGCAGAACGTTCCAATGATTTGAAGTACGATTAATATACGCATCAAAATTAATACGTTCTCTATTATAGTCATATCCTCTAAAGCGAGTATTTGTGAGGTCAAGTCGTTATGTTTGTATATAAAATAGGTAATTTGAGCTACACCGAATATAGTCATGTACGTTTGCTTACCTTATATTTAATAATGGTCTGGTCTTATGTACTTGGGTGTCACAAATAGGACAGTATTTACTCGTTTCCAAGTATCGAACTATGCAGGTTCTACAAACTATCAACAAATAAATGCATTTATATTAGATTTTGTTCAGTTTATGAAAAGAAACATAGTATCACAATATTCTAAGCTGCTGTTAAATTTTTGACCTGTACAATGAGTTGCATAAATGTAAGTCTAATGTAGGGCCACTTGAAATTACACAATGGATATGCAACAATAGTATACTAATTTGGGACACGTTCTAGCGCACACCACTTCATGTAACTACTACTAAGTTACAGCATGCGTAAATACAAACTTTGAATAAACTCTTAGAATATATATAGTTATCCATATAGTAACCTGCGAAATCGGGTCGACTTTCGTGAACTAAATCTGAAAAAACTTAACATTGCATTGCAGACATATTACAGTGAGTGTTTCTTTGGTGTGAACTAATATTACTGGCTTGTATTCATAGAACGTGTAGTCAGAAATCGAGCGTTGATGTTACCACTGCATGTCAGCTCTGCTAAATACCATATGTATCGGTCCGAGAAGCATTAATCTACTTATTACAACTGGATACGTATGTGCATTGGGCATGCACGTGACGTGTACGGGCGAAATGATACGTGCATATACACATCTGATGCGGAAATGACAACCGAATGAATACACTGAGGAAAATAAAAACGATTCTCATCAAAACACCTCAAACCATGCACACATTTCCGCTAACATGAACAATATCTTTTTACATGTACTTTGTTGACCCATATTTTAGTCAACACAGCTGTCGCCATTTTGTTTTTACTCCATTCAGTATTTACGAATGAGTAGTGATCACACTCGTAAACATGGTATTTTTGGCAATCTTAACCGTAAAATAGAAGCAAATTGAGTTTTAATTAGTAATTTGCAGTGAACTAATATAATTAATAAGTACTATTGCGACACATGTCTACTCAATTTTAACCCTAATCTGGTCAGCCCCATGTACCACTAAAGGAATATTGGCAAAACAATGCCGTTAATTATTTTGATAACGTTTGTCTAATATGAACTCAATAACTTTACATGTAAAACGATTGTACTGATAAGCCGCTATGACGTTGAAGGATTACCCAGTACAGACACGAGCATAACCATAAATCAATAATTTTAACTGCTGTGAAAAACACACTTACACGAGTGAAGACATTCTATAATGGTCGTGGCATCAATAAAATAACCACCACATAAAACACACATCAAGTGGGGATTCAATTCCGTCATTTTCAGCTTCGTGGTTCGATTCATTCTAAAAATAAATAAAAATAAAATTATCAGTCACACACAATAACAAAACAAACATATTTTTAACTAATGTAAGCTGGCCACACATCTTCCGATCCTATCGACTACGACTGGGTTTACAGCTGAAATTTACAGTCTGGTTGCCTATGACCGAGTTTTCCAGTCGCCGGCAGAAATCGCGTGGTGCCAAGTCATCGACAGTCGACTACTATTATGACTATGTTTATCACGTGGTCTCCAAAAAATGTCGGAGATTGATGAACGAATGTACAAGTGCCAAAAAAATATCTCAAAGTGAATTATAAACACTCCTTGGGTATGCACTTTGATTAAATATGGTATTTGTGTTCTCAATATCAGATCCAACTTGGGGTTAGGGAAGAGCTTATTTGAAAAGGCGAGCTTCCGCGTAATAAACCATTTACAAATTGCTCAAAAAAACCCAAATGTTCTGCCCATATTTCATCTTCAGACGGAATAAAACAAAGAAAAAAATGCATGTGTATTTTGTGTACATGTTACAACAAAGCGGGCATGTGCTAGTCTCAAACGAATCGTATATACATGGCGTGAAATTCGGGTGAAAGCATCTCGATTACAAATACACGAGTCGTTGAATACTCGCAACAACATCGACATGTCTGCGCGAAAGACGAATTATGGTGATCGGACTAACAACGACATGAATGATTATATCATGGAAGATAGAACAGTTCAGGACTGTCACAGTGGAATCACACAATCATGATGTCGCGTTCTTTTACAGTTACACAATGCTCTTATCAGTCTCAATATATTTTGCTTGCCACTGAAAGCAAGTAAATTAACATCAAATAATAGGTTATTTATTGGATACGTTCAAGCTTGTGTGTCTTTGACATCCTAAGTTACCATGCTTTTCTCTCCCCATCCAGGAATCAACATTACAATTTTTCAGAATAAATATGTTCATACTTTGGGAGAAATTTACAAACTGCCTATTACTTTAAAAAAATTGTGATTAAGGTAAAGGACAAATCTTCGTGTCATGTAGTTGCATTGTTCTGGAACAACCTATCTGACTTTCGGTACAAAAACATTGGTTTGAAAAGACGATTAAATGCGGAGAAAAATATTATCAGTGCCTCTTCAAAACCAGGATTACTCGCATTTAATACAAACTCTCATATCAATACGCAAGAACAAATCTAAATTGGGAACTCATCCAAAAGGAGAAAATGTTATTTATTTTAACTACTGGATATACGTTATAAACAGAAAAGATTATATAGTATTTCCCATATACACCATCATGTAATTGTTACAGACTCATCTAGAGGTGATTAGTTAAAGTAATAACGACTCTAAGAGATAGAGCATATACCGAAAAAAAAAACAGTGCAGCTGGAGTGTTAGTTGTATAATACATACACATTAACGCTTTTTAAACGTAATTCACCGTAACAATTTTAAATATTGAAAACAAAATACAACATATTCTACGTCATAAACCGGATATCGCAAAATACTGAGGGCGTGATGAATCACATGATTGTGGTTATTTCACTAAATAATTATTATTATGCCCTAGGTAAAACTCCATACCCATATTTTGATCTCTTTTCGGGTTGAAATATCGGATGCACTTTATTGTTTTGAGACTTTCAATTTCTCGAATTTAAATTATGTTCTTTCGAGAATTACACTTGACTTACACAACAGAGTACTAATAACCCACGGATGACAACTGACAAACTAAATTCTGGGAATAGAGGCGTTCGAGCACATCTCTTAACAAGTAGATTGTCGGCCTTGGATGATGAAGCTCCGATGCAATGTTTGACAGTTGAATTAATATTTTTATCAACAAATTGACACGAAATATCCAATAAAATTGGAGATTCACCCAAGGTGCCTATATATAAAATATCAAAGCAATCGGGCTAGGCATTTCAAATTCAAAATAGCCAAAAAGACAAAAATATTCAAAGATTAAGGTGTCGTTACAAAATGAACAAATAGAACGACCTAAGGTGCGTTTGTATGAAACCCATACAGCTGACATTCGAAAATGTAAAGTTGACGCCGACGAATGACAGACAGTAATAAGAATAGCTCCGTTCGAGTTTATCGAAAACAGGGCTGAAAATGTGGATTACAATGTACATTCCTACGAAGTCTGCGTCATTGGACGAACAAGAGCCATGAATGTGGCCATTGCTATGGAGTTCATTGTGAGAGGCGGTAAACCATCTAATCAACACGTCGTCCGTGTGATTTCCACGTGATTACATTAGCAGTTCATAATTATCAACCATCGTCGTTCAATCAGCCAGTCGTAGTGGCAAAGTAATCGACGAACAACGAAACGATTCTCATGAAATATTTAGGAGTGGGGTTGTCGAGCGAATCGATTAAATATTGGTAGACGTGAACCTGGTTACCATGCAAATCATTTTGGGAACGATTTTTTATTTATAACTAAAACAACTTATTAATGGATTCTAATAACATTTTCAGACCAATCGACTACATTTACAAACAAATTTGGGAATCTTTTTCAAAAAACGTATGTACACATTTTCATGAAATTGTCAGGTGATGCAAAGACCAAGCCATTAAATACTGACGTGATAACATGAAAGAAGCTATTTCGGAACTGATTAAATATTTATAACTCAAAAAGTCATAGATGGATTTCTCGTGACATTTTCAAGAAGGATACTAATGGGTTAGTTGAAATCTGGATCCCGTTGCAATGAGAAAAGGGTGTTTTCGGTGTATACATACTATAAAAATAAAAAAAAGGTAATGAAAAACATTCCCGAGTTTTTAAACACCTTTATTTTCTAATCAAAATCCAAGCAATTAGATTTCAAGAGAACAAGAAAACAATGTAAGGAAATGTTTTGTGATATTGAATTCCATAACGAATTTTAATTACGGAAAATCACGCCCCCAAGAGTGAAGAACAAGAAGGTCACTTGCGCGTACGTCGCGTCCAATCGCAAAGAGTGAAACAACTTGTGTTTTACTATCGGATACGAGGTTCTCCGCCCCTTAATCATCAAACACACTTACAAGATACAGCCATCTTGAATTTTTTTGAGACGGAAGTATTGTAATCTTCCGAATGTGACGTGCAGAAACTTTATGTTAAATAACTATATAAATTTAGTGTAAAATGCTATGTGCAACGGATATTATCACACTGTTTCACAATTGTGTAGGCTACGTTTTCCTGGTTTTAGGTAAAATACCGGACAAGCACGATTAACGTTCCTCTTTAAACCTAGTTTCCTGTAACGAGGTTAGGTAGGCGAAGCGTTATATGGCGGAATGCCAAATATGATGCAATTTACTAGATGTACACTGGCACACAACGTGAACAGTAATAACCTTGCGTTATGCAAAATCAGCGCAGCGTTTTACAAACATTCAATGAATAATTTATTTATTAAAACATTACGAAATGTAATTCATGGCATGATCGTAACGAGGTCAACGCACTGAGCAACATTTGTAACTATTTTATTTCTAAATTGACCAGTCACTCGACCCCTCCATATTTCGAACTGAAACCAGCAAGTGGTTCGGTAATGTATTAAATAATATATTACATTTGGCATAACTGTAATTACTAACCGAGGTGAAGCAGAGGTCAATAATTGTTTCCGTGGTTCAACACAATTGAATGGAATTTACAATGACACAGTGACATTCAAATGTCAGCTCACGATACAATAGGAAGAGTGCGTATGGAACAGTTCAACATACCCAATATAGATTGCCATAGTCACTATCCGTACAACAATAGATACGAATACAAGGTCGTTAATACCAGACGGAGGTGTTGGTAAGGTGTTTCAAGCATTGGGCGTTCTCGTTTCAATGCCTATTCAAAGTATATCCGCCCGGTTTATCGTTGGCCTAGGTACAACAACTTCAAGTTCACCATTCAGCAAAGGCATTCATGCCGAAGCTGGGTTATGCACTGTATAATTTCACTGATTCAAATGAGACAGGGCGAATGAGACCGAAATCTACTTGTTGGAAGTCACGTCACGGCCGTGGCCTATTTGAAATACCATCCGATGTTCTCACAACGAGTGAGAAGTAGGAGTTATTCTCTAAATTATTAAAAGCTATTCGCGGATGATACCAGAGATAATATACGGGACTGCAAAAAAAGGTATTGGCCCCCTTTACCACCATCTCACAATGCGTTAGGAATAACAGTGATATTTAAATTGACCACAATGCAGGTGAAAGCGCGTGAAAAGTAGAAGGCAAGGTAGATTTTATCCAATATCTGAGCGAAGATTACTATCGAAAATAACACGATTTTATTTGTCAAATTCCTTAATCAAAATAGATCCTAAACTAGCGAATGTTAAATATTGTTGTTCTATGTAAATTAGAATATGTATGACAAGTATTGAAGTAAACACGACGTCATATCGGTTACTTCACGGCGAAACCGAGTAAAATACCGGGTGTGGGAAAATTATTTTCTTTGTCAAAATCTATACTGATAACATACTTTCCTACTACGCGTTCAACACTGACAAGTTTACAGAAAAAGTATTTTTTTTCTTGGGTTGGAGTTTCTCTGTGCGCATTGATTGCTTTTTTTTACCCCGGACCAAGCCTTAACACCGGGATCAAAACATATCAAGTAACGTGGATAGAATACCGCCGACACATATACGAACACATGAATATGAATTCGAAAGTCGTTATTAGTAATCACACACAAAACAACAGATGATCTAACACTTTCATAGATTACATAACCAGTGTATATAAAAGCATCAATTGTCTACAGAGACCTGCCTTCACGTAAACACCACGCATGAATAGAGATTCGACTTAAAAGCGGTTTGCTTCAGTGATTATAGTACATATAGGTAATTCAAGCTTCGTCAAAATGAAACTTACAATTAAGCAATCAACACGTTTTCATTATTTTAATATGTAAATTCGATTCGAAAGGTTATCATAGTTGGATGAACCAATGATGAT